CTGGATCGTGGTGAGAAACTGGTTTCTTGTTTGATAACAGAACTCAGCAAATAGAGAGCTCTGCGCTGTCTCGCATTTTGTGTGGGCTAGAATGACTCAGTTGCTTACTGGTCATGTCATATGTTTTTCCCAGGTACTTTTTGCCTAGAATGGACTCTAACTAGGGAATGAATAAATGTCTCAGGGCTAGTGATTTGATAACAGAATAACTTGAGAGTTTGGTTTATTTTCAGAAAGATACAGATTCCTTCTCTCTGATGTGACTACCAGTCACTTTAAATGTCCTGTTTTGGCTATTTGCCATCTGTGTCTGTTAGGATAGAGAAGGTTATCCCGTGGTAGAAAATAACATGATAATCTTAGTGGCTTAAAATAATGAGTTTATTTCTTGATCCCATTGCTTGCCCATTGGGGGCGAGAAGGGGTGTCTTCCAGTGTAGACATCTGGACTCAGGATGATGCAGGCACCTGATTACACCTCCTTCCATATGCACCATAACAGGGAGAACCTCTTAAAGCTTCTGCCCACATTTGACACCTGTCACTTCTCATATTTCATTGGTCAAAAAGGTCACATGACCATGCCTAACTTCCAAGTAGCTGGGGACATTCAACTCTACTCTGAGCATAGCAAGAAGAGAATAGAAAAATTAAAACTGCTTATTACTCTTCATCATCCACTAAACATAACCACACAGGGAAGGAATTCCTCGATGATTATGGTAACTAGCCCTGCCAGTGTGAATTTCTCTGCCCCAGAGATTTTTGAGCATTGGTAAAAAGTGTTGTCATATATCTCCACCATAGTCCCCATGAACTGAATGCTCTGCATCCTTGGAATCTTATGATGCAGCAGCTGCAAGGACTACTGATGCTTTGAAGTGCTTCCAGTTACAATGGTTATGATGAAAATAATGGTGAAGAATAAAACCCACCCACAGAGAGGAACATATCCCTCAAGCACTTGCTTAGCTTCTACATTTTTTCCACTTTCTTCTAAAAAAGTCTTAATCAAGCCTTTCAAGTCTTAATTAAAGGACATCTTTGTGATCAGATTAATCAACATTTGATGGTCAAGGAAGTTAAGATTCTAAGAATGTAGAGAGAGTAAAATTTCTCAAGTCTCTAACATTTAAGTTGAAGTGTTTAGTTCATTTTGGGGGATTTGTCTTGTAATTACCACCCTTACCACCTCCACCCCCACCCTCACCACCTCCACCACCACTGCCCTCATCACCATCACCATCACCACCACCTCCGTCACCCTCACCACCATCAGTGCTACCACCACCTGTCATTATAAAGCACACTTGTGTGACCCATATGTTTCTCTTCAGACCATCATGGGAACCATAGAATTAGGTAAGATGTTTAGTAATTAAACTTGTTTCTTTTTCCCCTCCACACTGCATGGTCTAGAAATTTAAAAAGTCATGGAAGGCTATTGCTCCGCTGAGTTAGTTGCCTCACGGCGCTCTCTGTGGGCATCCCAAGAGCCCGTCGTTCCAGCGAGGTGCTGGGCGCTCCTCAGGCCGGCGGCGTGGGTGAGCAGGCACCATGCTGGTCTTCATTTCCACCAGTCAGATCCTCCTAACCAATGTGGCGGTGGTTCGGATGAAGCGCGCCGGGAAGCGCTTTGAAATCACCTGCTTCGAAAATAAGGTCGTTGGCCGGCAGAGCGGCGTGGAAGAAGGTCTTGACGAAGTTCTACAGACCTACTCAGTGTAAATGTTTCTAAAGGTCAGGTTGCCAAGAAGGAATGTCTGATCAGTGCATTTGGAACAGATGATCAGATTGAAATCTGTAAACAGATTTTGACTAAAGGAGAGGTTCATGTATCAGATAAAGAATGGCACATGCAGTTGGAACAGATGTTCACGGACATCAGAACTATTGTAGCTGACAAATGTGTGAACCCTGAAACAAAGAGACCATACACTGTTATCCTTATCGAGAGAGCCGTGAAGGACATCCACTATTCAGTCAAAACCCACAAGAGTACAAAACAGCAGACTTTGGAAGTGATAAAACAGTTAAAGGAGAAAATGAAGATGGAACGTGCTCACTTGAGACTTCGGTTCATTCTTCCAGGGAATGAAGGGAAGAAGCTGAAAGAAAAGCTCGAGTCACTGATCAAGTTTATAGAAAGTGAAGACTACGCAACAGTTAGAAATTGTGTGTCTGATTGACCCAGGCTGCTTCAGAGAAATTGATGAGCTAATAAAAAAGGAGACAAAAGGCAAAGGTTCTTTGCAAGTACTCAATTTGAAAGATGTGGCAGAAGGAGATGAGAAATTTGAATGACGTTCATCAGTCTCTTCAGCTGTAAAACACTAAAGCATTTTCATTTCCCACAGTCCTGTTCTTTCTTTGATCTGCCAAGTACTTGCTCAAACTATGTGACCTCCCCATTTTATGTTAAATGTATACACAAAAAAAGACTTTCCTAAACAAGTATTATAATGTGGGAGATTAATTTCAGTTTAATTTTAAAGTGGGGTTTTAGGCAAAAATGAAAAATCCAAAATATAAAGTCCAGAGTTGCATTTTGTTACTGTCTCATGCCTTTGTGACCTTCCAAAATAAAAATTATTTGAGGCAATTCTTGTGGATAAAACTGTAAGTTTTGTGCATTATAATAAGATAAATTAGGGAGGATATGTCTGTATGACAAAAAGGGAGTTTGCACTGAAAAATGAAACAATGTCTTATTTCTACTTAATGAAATGTAACTTTAGGAGTAACTATATTGTGATCTAATATAAAGCTTCAATGATGACTTCCTGATTATGTTCAAAATAGATACATGATGACTGTGCAAGACTTAAGTAATACTCATCCAACATGCTGCCATAACCTAGATTATTCATGGTAAATAAAAGTCATTTCTAGTTCTTAAAGTTTATATTAATGTGGCTAAAATATGCAATAAAACCACTGTTTATTTTTCTTAAACTACAAAAAAGTCATGGAAGAAAAGTGGCAACTCAGAACTATGTTGGGGACTGGGTTTGGGCTAAACCTATCTTCCTTCCTCTTGGCTTTTCTCCTTTCAGTTCTCTTCCCATGGTACTTGGTCTCTTCCTTTAGACTTGGGAGAGAACCAGAGCTAATAGATGCGCTGTCTGCAGCCTTCAGGAAGGGCCGTGCGCCCCTAAGGCTCTCCCCTTGGCTCCCCCACCACGCACTTGGGAGCCAGAGCTAATGGATGCCCGTCTGTGACCTGCAGAGGGCCGTGTGCCCCCACAGCTCTTCCCTTAGCTCCCCCACCACACACTCAGGTGCACCCCTTTGAAGGGCACAGGGGGGTCAAGGTTTCCTAGGTTGGGGATATTTTTCCTGCAAAACTCTGCTCACCAGCCAGAAGGGGGAAACTGGAAGGACCCGTCTAAAGTAAAGAGGCGTAATTATCCAGCAAATCAGAATGATTTGGCAGAATCACTGCAGTTGGCAGGTCACACCCAGAGGTGATGCCCCAGGCCTCTGGGAATAGTGTTCAGAGTGGGCTTTCTTTGGGGGTGACTCCTGCCGTCCACTAAGCTGTGGAGATTAAGGTTCTGTCATAGCTTCTGGCTTATGTGGTAAGGATGGCACCTTGGAGCCTTGCCCATGTCGATGTAGTTTTAACAACCCTTTGCAAGACCTCCAGGCATCCATGTCTTTAAACATCCTTGCTGGCTGAGGTCATGGTGAAGAGTACAGAGATCCTGGCCCAAAGCTAAATCCCTAGAGCTTTATTTAACCTCCCCCCTCTCCTCCTGCCAAATATTAACAAAACAAGGATGTTATTAAATTACCAATCCTGGCTCCAACGGAATATTTGCCAAGAATTCCATTCTTCCACATCACATAATACATTTTATTTTCCTTTTGGGGATTTGTTTTCTGAATCGGTTTACTTCTTTGTGGTCTAATAATCAGCAAATGGAATTCTCTCCATTTTTCATCCTTCATCATTAGGGGAAAAATACAGTATCACTTTCTGGCAAGAATTAAATATCTCAAAATGAGAGACAATATTTAGTGACCAAAAAAACAAAAATCCCTCGAGAGTACTACTTTTCTGATGAATCAGAACTGGAAGTGATTAAGGGCTCAGTGCATTAAAACAATGAGCACTCAAGTCTGTTCCCCCATTTTCATAAGGAAATCAAACATCCTTTTTTTAAGTAAGTGGGGGCTGCTTAACAAATCTTTAAAGTGAGCCACGGATAAGTGCACTGGCATGGTTTGAGGAAATTAAAAATATTTATTTTACTGAACTAATATTCCCTGCTGGAGATTAAAGCAGTGAAGGGATCCCACAACTGTTAGATACTGTTCAGCAATTTAGTTTCTGTCAGCTTGAACTTGAGTACAAGTTTTCAGTTGTAACTAACTAAATTCATATAAAATGTTCCTTGAATATGAAATGGGATTGTCTCAGATTGTATATTCAAATAAAAATATACTTAGTCTAATTTTATTTGAATTGGTGGATTTAAAAAAATACATTCAGAATTTGAAATTCCTGAGAATCTTTAGGTTGATTAAAATGTTGGTATGCTGTAGAAATTAGGATTTCAAGATCTTATATTTTGATCATGCTAGTTTGGAAAGTTCTTTTTGCCACATTGTAATGTATTTCATAAGAAAACAGTTTTAAAGGCATTATGTAGAAATCAGGACTAGCTATTTTCATGTTAGGCTACTACCTCATAGCTATTTGAATCAGTGCATACTATTTGCAGTTGGTTGTGATCTGTTTAATCAATTCGTGGGTGTACGATGCAGCACTTATTTAATTTTTATTTTATATTTATAAAGGAAGGGATATCCGGGACATAGATATATTACACTGAAATAGTCATGTGTTGCTCAGGAGGCAGATAGTAGCTACAATAGTTGTATCAATGAGTGGTTACTATGTTCCAGGTAATAGACTAAAGGATTTTATGTCCATTATTGCACATGATGACTTTTACCATTTTGCAGTAACTATAATTATCATCCATTTACAGGTGAGGAAACTGACAACTTGAAGAAGATACCTAGCTTTCCCATGAGCCTTTAGCTGGCAAGTGGAAGAACTGGAGTGCTCCTGAGATGTCAGGTCGGTTTTCTCTGCCAGGTGTTGTGGGGTTTCCTTATCATAGGCAGAGACGTGGGTATTTAAAGATGGTGGTAAAGCTCCTGGGGTAAAAGGTGGTAAGTGCAATTCCCATCCTCTTTCTCTTCACAGAGGACCACCTTGCACTTTCAAGCAGGCTTTTCCATGAAAAAGCTAACATGGGCAAGTACCCAATACAGTCCCCAGTGTGCTTTCTTCCAGAAGATTACAAAGACTGGGAACCTAGCCTATTATTATTAATATTTTAAAAAAGTTATTCTGGCTTCTTTCAGGGCCATATCAGTTTCAAACATCGCTGTCACGGTGGGAGCAACCGAAGTTGAAACCGCCTGAATGCTAAATGTAGCCCCAGAGCGGAAACTTTGCTTTAGAGTTGCAAAGTCGCTGGAATATTCATAGAAATGTAATATGAGCAAAGGATACCAAGTCAGTGTCAAAACTTTGTTCCAAACCATATTTGCTATTTGTGAGACTGGCTCCTCAGGGCTCGGCTGGAGATAAGGTAAGAGGCAGAGCAGGGTGGGTACAGCATGTACCCAGGGGCTCCCCTGCCCCCTGGATGCAGGGGCTTCTCTCTACAGGAATTAGTGTTTGGAATGGGGTGCCACTCTAGGAGGACCATCTCTGCCTCAGAAATGGAAATCTTTCCTCTGTGTTGCCACCCCAGTTTTGTGCCTGAGTTTGAAACTGAAACAATGTAGGAGCCTGTAGGAAAATCATTGTATGGTGGGAGTGTGGAAGTGACACCACTTGCTTTTCCCTTGAAAGTCTCCTGATCAGGTTACTGATAAAAAAAAAAATCATAGCAGCATAGGCCCTGATGAGTATCATCTTCAGATGCTGGAATCATATCTTTAAACAAACCAAAGGGATTATCTACTGATGACCCAAATTTCCTTTCAAGAATTAACAAATCTCTCATTTTTCCCCCCCTAGGAACTCTACTCATCTTTAGTTAATCTAAGAATTAACATTTAGCAAATTACTGCCTCAGTGCCTTAAATGAGGTATGTGCCTAGTGGCTCCATTGATTAGAACTCTGTGCTAATGAGGTCACGAGTTTAGTCCCCGGGAGGGCTGCCTCACTTCACATGGTCCCACTCTGAACCACAACCAGGCCTCCAAATGCACACTGGTCACAAGTGGCTTTCTGAGGGAATAAGCCACACAGATTCTTCACCATTTGTGGGAAAGAACAATGCAAAGCAGGTGCTTTGGGTTCACTTAGAATATGACAGGGATCCCATGGGGTGACAAAATGGTACCCCAGAGGCTGCAACAACTTCCAGCATACTGTTCAAGTGCCATGCTTCCTGGGGGTGGCTTCTGTGCTGGGAAATCCAGTTTTGACATGTGTAGGAGGTTTCAGTCATGAGCCTTGAAGGGGGTGTCACCTGGGAACAGAGGAGGCTGGCTGCTGTTTGGAGAGGCAGACTCAGAGGGATGCTTTATGGGAATTTTGTTGAATTTTCACTGATCACTTATTTAAAAGATGGGTCATTTGGGGCCTTCCAGTTATTGTCTGTAGTCATGCAACCCATGGGACCATTTCTGCCACAGCTGGGCCACTCCAGCCATTTGCCTCAGGCTGGTGGGAGATGCAGTAGCTAGGAGTTTTAGGAGTGTGGGTGATTGCCCAATTCTCACTCTCATGCTTTCTTTCATTTCCCAGTTTCAGAAACCACTTTACTAGACTGAGGTCCAGTTCTGAAGTTTCATCTCACCCAAGCATGACCAGGTGCTCGATGCCTCTGAGGTCATTTCTTGGGCTTAGAGCAGAATAATGCCTAGTAAGCTCCAGGTGTTAAACCTAGCATCCTCCCCATCTTTCTCCCATTTACTAGAAATACCTTCTCCAGGACAGAAGCCATTTCTTTAAAAGAAAAAAAATTTTTTAAACATTAATCACTGTACTCTTATCACCCAGTGGAATGCTTTGGATACAGTAAGAGTTCAATAAATATTTGTTGAGTGAATAAGTGGATGAAAGAATCAAATGTAGAATTGGTTCCATTTTGACAAAGGCAATTTAAAAAACGTTACCCTATCATTATCTTGTTCTTTTTGTCACAAAATTATACATAGTTATTGAAAATAACTCAGAAAATAGATATGAGCAAAAATTAAGAAAGTAAAAAGTACCCATAATGTCATTCCTCAGAGATAACCTTTCTTGACATTTTGGGGTACATGATATTCATATCTATATGTATTTCCACCATATATATGTAACTCAGACAATATGTATTATTGAGTAATTTTTTGACTTATGTCAAAAAACTTTTTATGAAATTATATATTCTTCCACATCATTAAAAAAAATTTTTCCTGAGTGTTTATTGCATGACTTGAGTTCACCTTAATCAGTCACATATTATAATATCCTTGTGGCTTAAACTTTCTACATAACTTTGTTTATTTCCTTGGGATAAATTCCTACAAGAGGAATTGCATGGTTCCATGGTTTTCTAATTTGCTATTTGCTAGTTCACAGGCAGAAAGTATATTGATGTTCTTAAGCTTTGGATTTCCCTTATTAGTAGTGAAACTGAGGGTTTTCATGTGTCCATTTAAATGTCTTCTTTGCAAATAGCCTGTTAATGTCTTTTAAGACCCATATATTTTGAGGGCCAATATACTTAGCCCTCTATATTTCACAGAACTATTGTAAGAATTAGTTGAAGTAACCTATTTGAATATGTTCAAAACCTACAAAGCAATACCCAGATGTGTTGACCATACTGTGACCTGGTAGGGTGAGGGTCAGAAAGAAAGGTCACTTGCAGGCAAATGGACTGAAGGAAGGCTTGGCTAGGCTTTGCCAGAGGAAGGTTGGGGAGGGACACCTGTGGAGAAAAGGAAAGAGGCCTTGGCCTAGAGATTTGTTACTTTGAGAAGGTCACTGGAAACAGACAAGGTCAGAGACAACACAGGGGCTGGCAGCCTGCAATGGGAGTCAATTAGAAACAGAAGGGAGCAAGCCGGGCCAGGGAGCTACAGAAGCCAGAGGGATGGTGTCCACGGGCGGTCCTCCTGGGGAGCAGGGGGCAGGCATCTCCTCAGATGTTCCAGGATTGGCCACCGAGAAGAGAAAATTCCAGCAGAGCCCCTTCTCTGCAGACTCACCCGAATTCCTGTCTGATCAAGGTAGGTGTGTCTAATGACACACAGGAAACCATGGACACTGCACACAGGTGTGGTCCTCTGGCCAGAGCACACTGGAGCTTCCAGTATTATCCCTGGAGTCCACACCTGGGAAAAGCAAGTCAAATATATAGACAAGTGATAATTACATAAAGATAAGATACTGCACTGAAATTCCCCCAGCACGTGTGTGACCCCACTTACGCAAAAGAGAATTATCTTTGCTTCTATTCACATATTTAAGTGTTGTTTTCACTTGTTACAACTAGTATATATTTCTTCTCTAATTTAAAAAGGATCCAATAAAGAAAAAGAAATTTAAGACTAAAGAGACATACATGCTGTGAGCCCAGCCTGCTGCTCCCCACTCTGCAGCAGGGGTCGGAAATTCATTATGCCCACAGGAGCTGAAGTTCTGGGCTGTCATGGGAGGCCCCGCTCAGACAGAGGAGCCCCAGGAAGCACCTGAGAGTCACACCTAGGCCCCACAGACACTGAGCTCCTTGCCATCTCACTCTTAGATGACAAGGGCAGCCATGCCTCCTTGGCAGGCAGGAACCTGGCTAACAGACGAGGTGTTTCCCAGGCTGGGAGTCAACACCTTCCTTCCAGATCAGGTGTGCATTGCTGCCTTGCAGAGGTGAGGCATGGGTTCATGTGTAGGGGAAAGAACTTGAGCTTAGTGGAGGAGGAAAAATGAGAACTTTCCTTCTTCAGTTCAAGAGCTGCCACTGCAGAAACAAAGTCTCTGACTGGGGTTTTATGTTATTTTCCATTAGGTAAAGCTGCTTGAAGGCCATGCTATTTGCTGTGTCCTTCATGTGTTGGGCACTGTTCAGGGCTTGGAAATAAAGTAGGGTACAAGACTGAGATCATTTATGACTTTATGGAGGCTATGGTTGAGCTGGGGAGATGGGTGGTCAGAAAGGGACCAAACAAGCTGAGTAGTACACATGGCGATGACGGCTGACAGAAACAGAAGGGGCGGAATGGTCAGCGTGGGCTGTTTTGGATCTGGAGGCAATGGAAGGTCTTTCTGAGGAGATGCCATGTAAGCAGAATCTGGAGGGAAGAGGAGGGAGACTAGCCAGCAGGTGGAAGGAAGAGCCAGGAGGTGGGACTCCAGGTCAGTCTCTTCTGGTGTGTCTGGGTAACGGGGAGCCTGGCGTGCTGGTCCAGATGAGGCTGGAGAGGCCAGCAAGGGTCAGATCATGCCTGGCCTCATGGGTGGCTCATGTTTAGAAGTTTGATCTTCTCCTAAGTGCAAAGGCAAGGTAAGAGGTGCTTACCAATCTGACGTGATGCAGCACCTTGCCTGAAGCCAGTGTGGTAAGAATTTATGAACAAATGCAAAATAAATAAATGGATTGATGCTCCAGATGAATGTCAAATTTTGTCAGTTTCAGAGAGGTGGAAAAAACTTGGTGAGGCCACATCCCTTTGAGCCTCTGGGAACCAGTGCCTCTGTCCTCGTGAGCTTGCTGTGACCAGGGCAAACTGTGGCCAGGGGCCACATGGAGTTGCTTGGGCTCCTTCCAGGGGCCTCTGGGGCTTTTGCTGTAGGAGTTTGTGGGAACAGGAAGGAGCACCCTGTGGTCTTGGCTGGCCCCTGTTACTCCTGTGGGGCAGCTGGGGCCCCCGACCAGTGTCTGCTCACCAGGCAGGAGTCCCTGCCTGTCCTCCACCTCCTCCTTGAGCCTGTCTCCAGGGGTGTGAGCTGTGACTTAGGATCACCTCCATGGCCTGAGTTTCACTGAGGCGTGTCAGCATTTTGGGACACATGAGTGGCACTCAGACTAGCTAGTGTAGGTCTCTGGTCAGCTTGGATTCTGAGTTTCCACAGGTTTCCACTGGGAACTCTTTGGGGCAGAATGATTTTTTGTATCTTAATCATTGATGTGTGGAATACAGTATTCTCTGCCTGTGCTTGAATCATAGGAACCCCTATTCTTTGAGTTCTAACTCTTCATAAAAATGGCAGCTGCCTCAAATGTGAACTTGACATTTCAAAGAAGCAGAGTGATGTGAGCTAGCTTGAGGTAGAGAAGCAAACACGGGCTTCGGGGTAGAGCTGAGTTCCAGACCCGCCCTGTACTTATCTTACTGCTGTGGGACTTTGGAGTGGACAATTTGCATGATCTCTGAGGCCCATCTTTTCGTCTTTAAAATGGGGGTAACACAATCTACCTCATAAAATGCTGGTGAGGGTTTAAAGAGGAGAATTAAAATACGTCGCACCCAAGAGATACTCAGCAAATACTAGTTTCCATGTTCTTTTACTGTTAATAATTTAATGAATCCTTCCAAAAACAGAACATGCTTCAGAGTAGAATCTGACCTGATTTTTTTGATGGGACATCCCAAAGGATGTTAGGTTCCTTTGTTTGGTTTGTGGTAAGTTGAGTCTGCATTTAAAAGGGAAGAAAAGGAAACCTGTAGTACCTCAAACAATGAGCCTTTTTAAAGCTTGCACTGGACTCCAATTTCAAAGCATATTCTTATTAACATACTTTCTTATAAATAGAGTACCACTCATCAAATATTTATAAAGTAGTAGCCTGAGAAGCCAGCACAATGCTTGGCAAGCCTGGGGACATTTCCCACGTGCACTGTGGGATGGCATAGGCAGGGGAGACCCATTTAATTCTGTGACATGGTCTGGGGGCTCCAGCATGAGCTAGTCTTGGCGTGTTTTCTCGCAGCTCTGGGCCTGTTCTGGAGCCGTTCAGGACTCCCACGTAGCCCATCCTTGCAGGCAACTCCCTTTGAAGTCCACAGGAGCTCTTTGAATGGAAAACATACACAACGGGATGTTGATGCAAATAAGAATCAGGCCTGATGTACGCGGGAAATAAAGGTGCTTCTCACCCCAAATATTAGCTCTTTAGCCAAGAAACTATGATTTGATCATTAAAAGAGTCACTCCCCCTCAACCCCCCTGATCTATCATGGAAGCTCCAACATCCTTTCACTCAGGAAATGATAAACTTGCTAATTACCTGCAAGTTTTAATTAAGCAACAAATGTAGACAGTGCAGGGCTCTGCTTTTACTTTAAACATATCAATAAAATAAACATTCTCAATTTCAGGGCAACTTGCTAAACGAAAAAAATAAACATTACTGTCTTTTGAAATATCACTCATAGAGTGATAATTTAGAAAAATATCTCTATTAGAGATTGTTAGAGATATTTTTTGGTTGAAAATGCAATCGCCTATGGAGTGCAAAGCCTCAATTTGTAGACAGGTTAAGTAAATTAAATCACTCACTGTCTTTTTTTTCAATGGCTTTAAAAGTTAAAGGTAATTTGCAAAGAAAATGCTCAGTTTGAATTGGTTTGTAATATCTGTTAATGATCTTTAAAAAAATCCACTTATTCACAATCCTGTCCCTGAGGGAATTCCAGTGTGCTATCAGAAAAATTTCTGAAGTCTGAAATGTCATTAGCTAGTGATTTCTTTGAAGTAAAAAGCCCTGAAAAAATAAATTATATGAGGTATACAAGTGCACAGGACAATCACTTTGATGAATAATATCTGTGTTTTTCATACCTAACATGCAACAATTGAAATCCAAGCTGCTAAATTATAGAGCTGTCTTCTGAATTACCATAGTGTAGGCATACCTGTTCTGTTTATTTCACACATGTATGGAGTTCTTCCATATATTTATAGATTGTTGATGTAAAAACAGGAGTGTTAGGAACAATTTTGATTATATTTAGTGCGTTTACCTTTTGGAAACACAAGGTGTTGCCTAAATACAGGCCTACAGGTGTTGCCATCCAGGATTAAAACAATAGCCTGCTTAGCACAGCAGCCTAGGTCTCAGAGCCAGGTGCCCTAAATGGGGCTGCAGGTACTACACAGCCCCCCGAATTGTCCAATATTAAATAACAGAGCTGTGAAATACTACACCAAAGGGAACATTTTCTTCCTGACCCCAGCTGGCTATGAGTTTTTGCCTGGAAGCAGGGGAGTCTTTGTAATACAATACTGGTCAGTTTAACTACAGATGCTGCTCTGGCCCCTAGAAATAGCTAATATTTTTTTCTTTGAGGGAGGAGTTGAATTTTACTAAACCATTTGTTACAGGTTCATTATACATTTCTTAAGAAAGTATTTCCTTGTAGCCAGCCTAAATTTGTTACCTTTTAATCCTGCTTTATGTGATAAGACTAAAAATACATGAGCCTCTAGCAAGGCCTTTCCTTATCATCATTATTTTGTATGTTGGGCCTTTAACATTTCTTCCTTCTCAAGTATTACTCACCTCTTAGCTAAATTGCAAAGGTTCCTAGTTTTATTCATTTTTCCTCAAGCGGAAAGCATTCTCTTTTTCCTAGTCCAGTGGCCCTGCAATCATATGGGTGATTCTTCCTATTTCCTGTCCTGTAACTGACATGAGGAGAGCAGACTGAACACAGATAAGGGCACACCACTGACTGATTTTGATAAAGATATTCAGCAACAATTTCTGTGTTAATTCCTCCATTTAGTTCACCTTGAGAAATGCAAATCAACATTTGAAAAGTTTCTTTTAGAAGAGTTTTCTTCTCTAAAACTTTTCTTGTATTGGGGCTCCCCATAAGGAAGATTGCAAAGAGCAGAATCATTTAACTTGGTGCATTATCCTGGACTGAACACATTCTGTAACTACCCCCAGGACACAAAAGAGAATACAGCCAGTGTTCTTGATTGCCCCTGTGTTGGGAGCCCCCTTTCTCCTCAAAGATGGCCACTATCTTGATTTATTTTTCTTTTTAATGGAATAATATCTTTTTGTGAGGGAATATATTTTATATGCAATATTATAGTGGCTTCAGGTCCACTACCCTGATTTCTGATACCGTAGATTTTTTTTTTAACTTTATATAAATGGAATCACATTGTGTCTGGTTTCATCCTCTCAACAGTACACTTGTGAGCTGTATTCCTGTCTTTGGGTGAAATGATGGTATATTTTCCTTGTTGTATTTCCTTCGTTGTATCAATAATATACCACAGTTGACCCAGCATACCCTTGCTGAACAGATGGGTTGTTTAAGTTTTAGGCTATTTCAGAGAGTGCTGTTGTAAACTTTCTTGTGCACATCTTAGGTGGGTGTGGGCATGCATTTCCTGTGGGTATGTAGCTAAAGGGGAGCTTACTAAGCTCTAGGGAGTGACTGTGCTCACATTTAATAACATTAAGCAGTTTTCCAAAGAGGTTGTATCATTTTCCACATCACCAGTATTGAGTGACAAGTCCTTGCTAATTGTTGCTCATATATATATATATATATATATATCATTCTGAGCTTGACTTTACACTCTCTTTATGGTGTCTTTGAATGAACACAAGATTTTAATTTTAATGTAGTTTAATTCACCAAAATTTTCCTTCATGTCTAGTGATTTCCATGTCCTGTTTCAGAGAGTTTTGCTCACTCCAAGGCCGTGAAAATATCCTTTTATATTATCTTCTGGAACTTCTATTGTTTCACCTTTCACATTTAGGTCTGTAATCCATATAGCACTGAGCTTTGTATATGGCGTGAGATTGGGATCAAGCTTGTTTTCTCTCTGACATCCACTTACCCTATATCATTAATGGAAAATACATCCTTTCCCTGATGCTCTGAAGTGATACTTTTGTCATAAATTAACTTCTCACTTATTTATACAATGATCATATGACTTTTTCCTATTTTTTGTAGTGTGATCAATTATTTGATAGGTTTTGAATGTTAAACCAATCTTGCATTTCTGGATTAAAACCAAGTTGGTTATAATGTATTATTTATTTTACATATTGCAGCATGTTTTGATGAATTTTACAACAGTGTGCATGAATGAATTTTATCTGTAATTTTTTAAATGTGATGTCCTTGTCAGGTGTGTTATCAAGGTTTAGTTGGTTCCTAAAGTGAAGTTGAGAAGTGCCCTCTTCATAGGACACACACACACACATGCTTATTTATGTATTTATTATTGGAATTAGCTAGAACAATTATGGAAGCCAAGAAGGCCCATGATTTGCTGTCTGCAAGTCTTGGCTGATTCTGAAGGCCCAACAATCAGGGGCTCTGATGTCCAAGGGCGGGAGAACATGGTCATTCAGATCAAGCAAACAGAGGAAACCCACCCTCCCTGCACCTTTCTGCCCTATTCAGGTCTTCAGGGGACTGGATGATGCTCACTCACCTTGGTGAGGGTGTCTTCTTTGCTCAGCCTGCCAATCCAGATGCTAATCTCTCCAGAGGCCCTCTCACAGACACACCCAGAACCAGTGTTTAACCAGTTGTCTGGGCATTCCTTGGCTTAGTCGAGTTGACACGCAAGATTAAGCACCACAGTAAGTATTCGCCACAGTGTTTTTCATTCCAAGCTTCTATATGTTTTAAACTTAGACCTATGGCAGGAAATAGCTTTTGTGTGAATTTTGCATGAGAAAGTAAATATAAGTTAGACTATCTTCTAGGACTTTTCATTTGGCACTCAGCAGTGTACTCACGTGCTCAAGGCTGAAATTTGTTATTGCATCTCAATCCCGGACCCCATCATCATGGCCCACCCTGGGTTTAAAGGGAAACTATAAGATGAGAAGCTGTTTGGACATATGACAAGCATTCAGGTAAAACACCTGCTTCCCACAGTGAAACTATAAAGTCAATTTCATCTCCTACTGTTGACACCTTCAGTAACTGTCCCACATGGGTCTTCTTTTCATCCCCTTTAATATTGCATAACTAATATCTCACCCCATCTCTGCATTCCTGCTTGCTATTGTCCTAGTTCAAGGACTCATTACCTCTTGCCTGGGCAATGGCATTTGTGGAACACCTGGTCTCTATTCCAAACTCTTCTCAGCATCCAGGAGCTCGGTTTAAAAAGGAAAGCTGGCCATATTAGTCCCCAGTTGAAAACTGGTGACTGTCTATTGCTTTACAGAATGAAGTCCAGGCTCCTTGACACAGCACAGGAATCTGCTCACAACCTGGCACCTGCTCACCTCTGCAGCTCTGTCTTGCCCTGCTCCAGCCTTTGGCTTAACGCTCCAGCAGCTCTATCTGCTTGAGGTTCCTAGTAGATACCGGGGGGTTCTTTGTGTCCCAGTTTTTGTGTATGCTGATCTTTCTCCCTGAATAGACTTGTCTATGTCTTTCTCAAAGGTAACACATTCTTTAACAATCAGCTCAGGTCAGCTACTCTTGACTCACCCAGCTGGGGCTGGTGGCCTCCTTTCTGCCCATGCCTGTATCTCTATGGTTAGTCTGTGAACTCTCTGCCGGCAGGGTCCATGTCTTAATAAACTATGTACATCCATAACTTACTGTCAGTAACAAGCGCTGGTAGATAACAGGTGCTCAACAAACATTTATAGGTTCAAACAGAAGGCCTAATACTGGTTAGTTTACCAGTTTGAGCCTCATTTCATCTCATTTTGGAAGCCTGAGATGCAATAACATAGCCCAGACTTCATGACTGGGAGGGAAGAAGGAAGGCAAAGGCTGTGGACAATCAGCAGATGCAGTCTCTTCCTATGTAACTGAATTCAGTTCGGATGATTGAAATGCTCATGACGGAGTCGCTTTTTGTAGAATGAATTAGTAACAAGGATTTTCTATAAAGATAGATTTTTTCCAGAGAAACACATTTGAACAATTTACTCTAAGAATTTAAATGAAAAAACAATCCTACTTAAAAGGCAAATTGACCAATATCCTTCCCCTTTTCTCTTATTAATAAAAGAATTTACACAGAAACTCTATAAGAAATTGTGTAAAGAGATTCACAAGGATCATTAAAGTCTCTCCTAGACGTTCACCCTCACGTTGTAAAATTGGCTATACCCTCAAAATGGCATCACATAAAATGGGCTTTCTGGGGCTCTTGTCTGTGAATGGGTTTTAGTTGCACAGTGGTGCCATTCATTTTATTTCGCCCATTTATTGCAAGTACATTCTAAATTTGGCCTTAATTATTTTTCCTTTCACAAAAATATTTTGTGGGATCTTTTTGAACCCTGACTACTTCCTTCTTGCCCCTTAAAGCAGAATCCAGGAGTGTTATTTTTGTTCTCTCCTAATTAAAATAATTGCTCGGTTCCTTTTAACTAGATTCATGCAGTTATTAGCCTAATACGTGGATGGGTGCCATGGGGTGCTTGAGAAACAAAATGAAAAGTGATCATGTAGCTTCACATGAAAAAGGTTCTGTGGTGCCAAGGAGCATTATTTCCTTTCAGCTGGCAATTTATAAGGGCCTTTAGTAAACCTGGCCCCCCATTCCCTCACTAAAAGACTATTAAGAGAAAGAATAGTCCTATTTCCTTTATTAGGTATACAGCTAACTCAGTACAATTTGAAGAGGGCACTTGATATGTCGGCTATGGCACAAAGACCTGGGGTCTGGTTTTAATCTCTGCCCCTGCTTTGTCTTTTAGAATAACTGCAATTGAAGGATAAATGCTGTGTGTGCCCTCTACCAGTTGGTGTTGGTCAGAGGACAGTAGAGGAGGAGGGAGGGTTTGAGGAAGGTTCTGCCATTATTGTCTGAATGACAAGTCCCTGATTATAGCTAGGCTCTGCCTTTGTCTGCTACCTGGAGCAGCGGGTGTTGTCATGGCTGGGACTTCTGGCTTGTCGTGCACCTTTATTTACTAAGTCAGCATTGTAGACTTCTGCGTCCAGACCAAAAGATGGACACCCTTTGCCACCTGTTGGTGATTGGGGAGGGTCAAGTGAGAATGTGAGTCCAAGTGTTTTCTAAACCATAAGATGCTGTGTTTGGGGGTATAGACATGATCTATAATGACATTAAAATAAGTGTTGTCTCTATTTGGCATGTGAGGAAATGAGATGTGGAAGGATATTGGTCAAAGAGTAAACCAGCAGAAGAGCTGGAAGCCAGTCACTCTTTTTACAATCTACCACATGCCTCTACATTGTGTGTCTTTCCATGGTTTCAGAAATGCTCAGTTCTTTAGTTCATTTGTTCATTCAGTATTCAACATTATTTAAGAGGCTACTATGAACTGGAGAAAGAGCTGAGATTTTCAGGGAAAGTGATGACTGTATAAAGAAGAGCTAGAAGATTCTTCAAATAATTTTGTTCTTGGATCCTAATGGCTGGAATCCTCCAGAAGCATGGAGATTCTCCTCTTGATTTTCCTTGTGCTGCCCAAGGAGTTGGCCCTTATTTGTGCTTTGGAAAAAGAGGGCAGCTGGGACGGGAAAGGGAGAGCAGTCCTGTCATTCAGCAGAATGCTGCCTGATGCTGCTTTATGCAGTGTGTGTGTGTGTGTGTGTGTGTTCATCTGTGTGCGGGCACACCGTGAAAGGGGAGAGAGAGATACGGACATGATAATAGCAGATCCTACCAGCAACTAAAGGATAGAGACCATCTAGGTCTGGGAGATTTGAAAGTTAAGATTTTGGACATAAAGTTCAAGGGAATCAAGGTCAGAGAAGTTTTCAAGTCTGAATTTCCCAATTAAATGACTTATATTGAATATGCCAGGTGTGGGCTTATTTTATCATATTATTAAATACAGTCTCCATTCAGGTTGTATTCAGTCAATGATGTACCTTGTAATTTTTGAAATGTTGACTCCCACATGAGCCTGGAGGAAGCAGTTTCCACCAAAATATTGAATTTGCCTTGTCATGGTGAGAGAAGTGAAATTCTTGAGAGCTTCTAACAGTTTTTGATACTTGCCCTTTTAACAGGGAAGTTTGTCAGTATTTTCCTCATAGTCAATGTTGTTGGCTACTTGTTCTCTTCAGGTTTATCTGTGAACCACATCATAGTCATATGATTATCTGAAACAGAGGTGTTGATGAAGGTGCCTCATAAAAAAATAAAAATCTTACAGAATCCTTCACTGCACAGTTGTCACCTGCAAAGACCTCGGAGAGGTACAATAGAATATTCTGCCTTATTCTCCTCTTTCTCCCCACAAAGTCAGCCCCAGCCCTGCTGACTGAATTTGGAGGTGGTGTTATCTGATTCTGTAATTCATGAAGTTGTGTTACTTCTAAGATATTCCCAGGACTCAGGACACTGCTGTTTTAAGAAGTATAGTTTGTCTCAGCACACTAAAAGCATATTCATAGCAGGACTTAGCACTGATACAGGTAACACTTTGCATCTGTAAGAAATTTGTAAGCATTAACTAATTTATTTTAACTTTCCTGCAATGGAGTGAATTTTCTTCCATTTGCTATGGGAAAACCCTTCTTTTTCTAATTCTAATCTTTTAGCAGGTATTCTACTGAAAAATTGTCACCATGCTGGAAATGTTTTATAGAGGGGAAATAAATCTTTCAACACAGTGTAAATTTCCATTGAAACAGATGACCTCTACTTCAGAGTATAAGCCTATTTTTAAGTGATTAAGCAATGCTCTGGAAAAAAACCTCTATGAGAACTATAGTTATTGTATTACTACTGTTACCATTAGTACCATTACTGTGTGCAGTGTTCTTGATCGTTCACATTTATTACACCTCCCGAAAGGAGAGCTTGTGGAAAATCTTGTGCTGCCTTTTTAGTGGAGAGTTTGATCCAAGGGTGGGAGGAGTTTGGGGGGATGGTCAAGGGGCTGAGATAGAAAGTGCAAATACAGGGTTATGTTAGTGATGTGGTCCCAACATGGCACGAAGGGAGGCGGATTGCTTAATCCTCTAGACTAGGGAGGCAAAATATTGGCCCCTAAGGAAATGTCTGCATCCTAATTCCTAGAACCTGTGAATGTTCCCTTATATGCCAAAGGCTTTGCAGATGTGATTAAGGATCTTGAGAAGGAGAGATTACCTTGGGTTATTTAGGTAGGTCCTAATTCCAACTGTAAGTGTCTTGAAAGATGGAGGCAGAGGCAGATATGACACAAAAGAGGAGAGGACAGTGTGGCCGCAGGCACAGAGGTTGGGGTGATGTGGTCACAGGCCAGTGAAGGTCTGTCATCAGCAACTGAAGGAGGCAAGGAGAGGCCCTTTCCCAGAGCCTCCAGAGGGAGCACAGCCCCCACTGACCCCTGGCTGTGGGCCCAGGAATACTGGTTGCAGGCTTCTGGGATCCAGAACAGGAGGTAATACATTTCTCTTGTTTTAAGCCACCAGGTTTGTGGTGATATTTTATAGCAGCCACAGGAAACTAATACAGGGACCATCCTCCTGGAGAATGAACTATTAGGTCTCAGGATAGACTGATCGGGTGGGGGGAGAGGAAGGAAAGGAACGGAGTTCACTGGCCAGCTGCAACTTCTGTCTGGTCAATGGTTTTCCTTGTGGGGCATTCATATGCCCCTTTATCTCCCCCTCTTGCCTCCAGGTTGAGCACGGTTGGGCGCTGAGTTTTGTTGGAGTGTCCCATTCTTCACAGGTAACAGGGAAGCTCCAGATGGGAAGACAGAAGCCAGTCAAGGGGACACAAGAAGAGGCTCCACTGGGTTGCCCCTTAGGAAGCCTGCTGCATGGGAGCAAGTGGCTGGCAGCTCAGAGCAGCGTAGTGAAGTCACCACCCAAGAGGCGCATACAGGGAGGTCCTGAACAATCATCTCCTTGGCCCTCATCACAACCCCAGGAGACAGGTATATGATACTCTCCTCATTCAATGAGCCCATTCTCTGATCTTGAACACCATTACCTTTAGGAGCTCGCTGTCGCTCAGGTCTATACGTCTCAATCTTCAAATGCAGTAACTGAAATCTCTTCAGCTGAGTCAACATCCCCCACCCTCATGTAGCACTCCATGACTGACTCTAGTTTTACTTCATGATGCACATAAAATAGGCTCATTCTTACACTGAAAGCTCTCTTCTAATTTTGCATAGTTTGTATTCTTTTCACTCTGCCAGGCAAAGCACTCCCCATTTCTTTGGCATGTTGGAGGACCTTTCTTTCCATGCTGGTAGCCACATTGACCCTCTGGACATGTAGCCATTTGTTTCTCTCCTGCCTCACAGGGAAGCTCACAAAATGAACCAGGACTTCAGGTATGGTCTGATCAAGCACACAGGCATCTTTCTTCTTTAATTTTTACATCACTGATGTAGCCAGGAATTATTTTTATTTTATTTTATTATTTGGCAAGCACACGCTTTTTATTTGTACAGCAAGTTTGATTAAGATGCCTTTTTCTTATACTTGAATGCAGACAGCTATATGGAAGAATGTTAGTACTAAAGGTGCCCTAAAAACCCTAAAGAATTAATCGCTTTCAAGTGGTATTGCTGTGTGGTTGAAATCAAAATGCCACCCCATGTCATGGCACAAAGATATCCACCATTTTTATGCAGAATTGAGGTCAGTCAGTGATTTCTACAGGTCAGTACCAACCAGCCATGCAGGACTGGGGAGTTGTCAGCCAACTGTCCCCCCAACATCCTCACTCCTCACAAGAACCAAACACTCAAACCCAGTTCTGGAGCACCGTCTGGCCTGGAGGAAATCTACCTGGTGGAAATGTTCCCTTTTCTTGTCTCTTAGCAGGCAGCACTCATTTGGGTTTGTTCCTGGTCTGATCCATGTCCCCAGGATCACTGCATGAAGAGCCATTACCATGGACTGAAAAGGCCAGTGTGGAAGGCACCTTATATCCACTACCTCTCATCTTCACTGTGACCCTGCAAGGTACATACTAGTTTTCATTTTACAGGTAAATAAATTAAGGCTGAAATTAAGTTTTAAGATTGTAGAGTAGCAGACCTGGAGTTCAGACTCAGGTGGGTCAGACTTTCTGATAAAACATGTGGTAGCCAAAATGATTTTCTAGCTGTAGGAAGGGGAGGGGTGCCCTTAGACCTCTGCAGGGGGGCTGAGCCTGAGGCTGACCTGTCTGGCTTCCTGAAGGAGCTGGGTGGCATATAGTTGGCATTAAATGGCTCAGCCTTTGTAGGCTCTCCCTCAGTGACTAGGTCTTCTAGTGTCACATGTGTTAGGAAACCAGGTCCTGCACATTCTGACCCAGTCTTCACTGTTCACAAATGTGGGAGTTTCTTTGGCTCAACATCAGTTCATGAAGTGCCTTCTAGATCTCTTGGACCAAGCCAGGGTAGGGATGGAAGAACAGATGCCCTGGGTATAGGTCATGTAGCCTGGGGATGGTAAGGGTTTGAATTGAAGGTCCCAAGTGTTGAGTTGGGTGAAGCAGATTCTGCGAGGGAGCCAATGGCATTTGAACTTTTCCTGGGCTGTCTACCCAGAATAAGATGTTTTTAGATGCATGAGAATTTTATGAAGCATTCTCCAACTTTTTACCTCTCGTCTGTCTTTTTACCTTTACCTCATTCAAGCAACTAGGCCAGTGCCTACTTGTTCTGAGGGAGGGAAGTGATGGTGAAAAATGAGTCTTCTGGTTGTGGCAGATTCTTTAGGTTGATGCCATCAATCCTCTCCCAACTGGCAATTACCTGCTGTGGAGGCTAGGAAACTACCAGGCCACCTTCCCAGATACCTTGCAAATGGGGGAGGGCAGGCGGCTCCAGCACTGACCCATGGAACAGGCCGTGGCCTACTGTGGCCTCTTCTTTTACTTAGGGCTTTTTTCCCTGCTTGGAAAGCATGTGATGCCCAGGGGACAGGGCCATTGCTGAATAGTGGCCTGGGTCCTGGAGTGCATCTTTGAACATTGCGCCAGATTTTTTTGTTGGGTCCCATAATAAATTCCTATTTGGTCAAGCTTCTGTTGTTGGGTTTTTGTGATATTTGTCCAAATGTAAGCCTTACCCAGTGTTTTGTTTTGTTTTGTTTTGCTACATTTCTGTTCCTTAGGGAGACAGAAAGACCTCAGGGTCTTGCTAAGACTTGAGAGAACAAATGGGGACATTGGACAGTCATGACGGTGGGGGCTGCAGAGAGGAGGAGATCTGTCCCTGCTCTGTTGACAACCAGCAGGGGGTCAAAGGGTGGAACCAGACCGTGTCCAGGGTGACTTGGCAAACTGCTGTCTGAGGACCAGGCAGGGGGATTGAGTGTGTCGTCTCAGAGGTTGCCTGAATAGACACATGGCCTCAAACGTCGACAGCCTCTCCCCTACCAAATCCCAGCACTTGGCCATGACTTAGATGAAGGTCATGCCCCAAGACTGTTTCTGCCATCCTCGACAAATGAGTCTTCAAAATTTAAATATTATGTTTTATGCATTTATATAATTTAAATATATTTATATAATTTAAATATGTATATAATTCAAATATGTTTAAATATATAACATTATAATATATATCATAAAATATAATATGTGTGATAAAATATTATAACATTATATCATATATTATGAAATGTTATATTATAAAAATGGTGTATTTTTAATTCCAGTTGTGGACTGAGATTGCCACCAGTGATGGTAGCATAGGTACACACATGGATGCACGCTGAAAGGCAAACGCAGTAAGTCACGCTGGGGTGGCCTCTGGGTGTGCTTGCTCTCTGCTCCTGCCTGGGGGCCCTGTGCAGCACAGAAGCACAGGGCTAGGGGGTGCTGCTGGGGTTCCTGTTTCTGGGATCTTGGATCTGACCTCTGTGGCCAAACCCCTGCTCTCTGCTGAAATCTGTGAAGTGCTTCTCATCCCCACACTGTTTCCACTGCGCAGGTGGATTTGAAGTGGAGTTTTGGGCAGGGTGGGCAGACAGGAATGTCTCTGCATGCATGGAGATGTTGCTGAGCACTGCTGGGATGCAGGGGGAGACTGAGCAAACCATTTTTATTTTGGCAATGATTATAATGAAGTTAAACCATTCCCTGCCTTCTGTTAAGCCCATCCAATCTTCTTGCTTTGGATTCAATCAAATTCAGTCCATCTGAGCAGCAGCGTTGTGGTTACTTGGTTCTCTCAGAGTTGGCTTTCTGCCTTGAGTGCCTCTCTAGCCCCAAATGACCATGTGACCTTGGGCAAGTCACTTCATGTGTCTTATCATTGTCTGTAAAATGGGTCAAATGATAGGACCACCCCCACTGGGGTATGTGAGGGGCAGAGCCCAGGAAAAGGTCCTGGGCATGGCACACAGCATGCATGAGTGTCAGCTTGCCAGTGCCACTGGGTGTGACGGGTCCCCTCACCCACCCATTGTTCCCTAAGAGATGCAGGCACTCAGCGTCATTATGAAGGAGCTTCATCGCCAGACACAAATCTAATGCTATTCTTCCCACGAGAGCATCAAGCCACAGTCCAGTTTCATGCTTTTCTAGGTGGCTATTGAACAGCCTTACCTTTTGCATTTTGTTTGAGAGGAGAGCCTTTGCTTCAATTCACTGCCCTTGTACTTCCTTGAGAGGTGGCTTCTCATCCCTGACTCCCACTGAAGGAACCTGCTGCTCCACTCTACTAGGGGCTTCTAAAAATTGTGGGGTGTGTCTCAGGGCTGATGTCCCCATCAGAAGTCAAGTATAATTGAATATATCTTTTAAAGTGAGATTGCTAATGGCATCATTTCTAGTCCCACCGTACAGCCTTTGGTCACTTCCCGTTTACCTATGGATGATGAGCATGGCCATAGTCCTTCTTGATGTCGTATGGGCAGTGGCCCCCCTCCCCCCACAACCAGGAGACGTTCTCCATCACAGCTCACAGCTGGCTTCACTCAGGTGCTCCGAAGACATGTATTCTGAGGAGCTCCTTCTCTTCATTCATTAAGCTGAAAGAAATCACATTTCCAGGGGACAGAGATAAATGCTGTGTACTTCTCTGATTAAACTGCCTGCTGTTTTAAATCTATTTTCAGAGACTTTTTTCCTTCAATAGACATTCAATGACACAACACAGTTATATCTGTATTGGCAGTTTCTTCTGCCCTGTTTATGTAGCGTGTGTGTGTGTGTGCACAAAAGTGAACATGTGCCAATCCAGTGGTCCCGTGTTATGATCGATACATATTCAACAATTAGGAAACTGCGCTTAAAAAAAAGCAGGGTTGGATATACATCTCATTGACCAGTAAAAAAAAATTGCATAGTTGGGTAAAACTATGTTTAATATTTTATGTGTTTAAAATACTTTATGTATTTAAAACCACTAAATACATAAAGTACATTAAAATGAAAAAGTGCAGGGAAACAGTTGTCTCACCAAAGGTTTTCCATCTGAATGATGGACTTGCCATGGTCCCAGGGCAACTCTGCAGGTCTCTCCTGCAGGCTACTTTCCTAACATCTCTGTGTTTCTGCAAGGTGTGGGGAACAGGACTAAAAATGTCTCAGCCCTGGCCCACGGCTGTCCTTACAGCCTTCCTTAATCGTTGAAATCTCTGCTGCCACTTTGCCAAAAGAATAACACCTCCCCCAGAATTACAGCAAAATCAATGGCAAAGATAATTGCAATCCAGATCACTTAATGTTTTTCTTAAGTGACTGCTTAGTTTCTGAAAAGTGAGGTTTAACTCAAAGGATGGCTTTAGTTGAGGGTCATGAATTGGTAAGAGAAAGAAAGTCAAGGCAGATAATTTTCCAAGTGACCGTGAGGTAGCATGGGGACCTGGGACAAGCATAGTGATTACCTTTTCCTGCCTATGATGAAAAATGTTGAGATATAAACAGCATAGTAAGAACAGGAGAGATTCCATCTTAAGGCTAGTATCCCATTTTAAAAAGAACAGAGTTGAGAAGATTCCTAACATATTCTCTGGTAATCAGACAATAACCTAATAGCCTATCTTAAGGCAGGGAAGGAAGTCTTAACTGATGTCCCAACTGCTTGAGGGTAACCACTATCTTGGAGAAAAACAGATATAAGTCCCTTGTGTTGGGTTTATTTAGCAGAATTAGCTGGAAGACTGATAACAGAGGAGTGGAGAAATAGTGTCTCTCACCAGAGATAAGTACCTTGAGGCCACAAGTCAAGCCTATGCCCAACAAACCGCCCTCTGCCCTTTGCCCCATCCTTGAAAGTCTTAAAAGACAGAATTCCCAAACTTTCAAGGCCCCTCCTCTCTAAGGATGCCCTCACTTTCCTTTCTTTAAGTGCGTACTTCCAAATAAAGCTTTCTCACTGCTCAGATTATTGTGGTTTGTCTCTTTGCTCTTTCATTTTATTTCCAAGTCTTCACGTTGCCTTCACTTTACTCCTAATAAGTAGGAAGGGGCTGCTAAGAGCTCAGATTTGGGCCTGCATGTTTCTGTTGCCTGGGTGACCTGGACTGAATTGTCACTGTGTGATCTGCTCTTAGTAGCCTGCCTGAAGATCTCCTTTCTTTGGGAAGCTCTCAGAACATAGTCTCACTCCATCCTGTGCTCTGTGGCTCCCCCAAATCCTGGGGTGGTAGGGGCTCATCCCCATGCCATGCAGATCCAAGCAGACACAGGATGCCAGGTGACCCTGGCTTCAGGAGCTGGCAAGGGAATCTGCCCTAGGCCGAGAACTTTCCCTCTGCACTTATCTGTTCTCTGCTGCTTGCAAGGCTGCTGCCATTCCCTGCTGCTCTTGCTCTAATGAATTCCTTCCTTACCTACACTTGTCTGACCTGTTCAAGAATTCTTTCTCACCCAGAGTCAAGAACCCTCCCCCGTCCACGCTGAGGTTTCTCCTAGTGCTTCACCTTGTGCGCAGGGAGAGAGCTCCCCAGACGCGGCTGCCCGACAACAACTGGAAGATGGTGTTTACATTCAGGATTTCATTTCCTTTCAAGTTTTGCTCTGGGGCTTCAGGAACTTTACTAGATGAGAAGAATGACTGGGGCATTTCCATGGCCCAGCTCACTGCTCTCTTGTCTCCTTAAAGGGCTGGAAATGCTTTGAAGGAGGTTCGCCTCTTTCCTTTCCTCCCAGGGGCCCAGAAAGAGTGAGAAGGAGGAGAGGAAGTGGGGAAGGAGGTCCTGACTGCGGGGTGGTGGCCGGCTTCTTCCTTTGAGTGATTCTCCACCTGTCTGATGATTGGGGTCTCCTATCACAGGTACTTTGGGGATAATATTAGCCATCTTTTTAATACTTATAACAGTTTATAACACGTCAAGTGAACTCTGCTTCCCTGGGTTCTCATGTCAATTTGCTGAGGTGAAGGGGACTGATATTTTTATCTTTACTTTGTAGAGGAAGAAACTGAGGCTCTGATGGATTGGAATTTGTCCAAGATGACCCAACCAGCAGTGGGGTCCAGGGCAGGTGTGCGCTCCGGCCTTCAGGTCTTTGGGGAAGACAAAGGGGCTTGAGCACCAGGCACTTACCTTGAGGAGCTCCAGGTGATGGGCGGGCCTGGCAAGTCCCGTTCAGCCATCCAGACCCACATGGCTTCCCCATGGTGCCAAGCCAGCCACTGGGCTCTGTGACTCAGAACAATGGTTCTGGCTTTCACTGGAATCTGTGGCTTCCAAAATACCCAGACAAAGGCCTCTGAAAGGCATCTGGTCAAGCTTTGCATGGGAAGAAAACTTATCCTCCGATTCCCCAAGCCCTGAAGTCAGGGATTTGATTATGCTTATCATGATCTCAGCTTCCACTGCTCCAAATGTGATTAGTTTTGTAATTAGTTAATGTCATTACCTGTCATCAAATCCAGACAATGTTGGTCTCTAAAACCTCCCATGGCAGAGAAACCCACAACCTGACATCTTTCCACTGTTTAACACAGGGTTTCTTTAATAATCCTGGCAACTGTCCCCTGATTTCTAGACCACAGGTCTGAAAGTTAGGAGAAAGATGTATTTTTTGAATGCAATTTAAAATTCTTCGGTCTGCTTTCCAAAACTTTTCTTCACTCCAAGCAAAGCATAAATATAATCTTTTCAGCAAATCTTATACCCCACTATATTTTCCTTCTTATATATGTTGGCTATATTTTGCTTTGGGCAGAATGGCCAAAATAAGAACCAGTTTACTGTAAGGAAACACCCTGTTAAGGACTGTTTTTACTTTCTGTAAAATGCTGTTTGTCTTACTATGTACTTGCTGTTAAATATTGGGCAAATGGTTTTCTTCTTTGCTCCTATTCTGCCATCCAACAAATATTCTTTGAGTGCCCATCATATGCATGTACTCGAGACACATCAGGGCACAGACGAGCTACAATCCCTGCCTCCTGGGAGCTCATGCTCTAGTGGGGAAGGTGGCATTGCAAATGAAGGTTTAAAAGTCAAGTAGATGGTATGTCGCTGGACATTTTCCATGTGCCCCCAGGCCCCTCTACCCATTGCTCCAACCTGGTATGTCGAGGGCCCTGGGGAGGTAGGTCATTAAAGGCTCCATCAATGGCTGCTTTGGCCTTCAGGGTCAGGAGCCAAACACTGAGGATCAGGACAGTGAGGTCAGCGTAATGATGCCCCAGTCCTCCCTGACTCCTGAGGGTGACACAGTTGCTTTTCCATCCTGGGGTCCCATGCCTCCTCAGTGCCCCTTCAAGCCTAGGGGTGACAAACGCTCACCACTCTCGGTTTTCTTAAACCTGATGACGCCTCTTACACAGACCTTTCCCTGGCCTCTCCCTGTCACCCATCTGAATGAGCCGTCTATTCTCCATGAGACCCTGGCTGGAGCCATAGGTTAGAAACCAGTGCCACAGGGAAGATGCCATTTTTTCATGCCCCTACTCATTAGCAGTACTGCTTGCTGTCATGTGCACATTTTTGGACTAAATGTTTCAGGCTTTAGGCTCTGCTGGGGTTCAGTTACTGACTCGTGACCATCATACACTGTCTCACGCCCTCTGAAGTCAGCCGTCACGTTCCTCAGGGCTCGGCCTGCCTCAGCACCTTGTGTGGGTGAGGGGACGAGACCTGCCTGTCCCCACTCCCCAGCAGCCTGCAGGCAGCTAGCCCTGCCCCTGCCCAGGGCCCCTGAGGCCCTCCCTGCCCAGCCCCGCCCCGCCTCCCATCTGTCAGCACTCCCCTGCTGCATGCTCCTGGGGCCACTTGGACGTTCCCAGCCCACCACACTTTGTGCTCCTCCACAATAAAGACCCAGTTCAAGAGACCTCTCAGAGGCCTTCATGAGTTGATCATTTTGAGGAAAAAAATTTATCTTTTTTTTAAGGGTTGTAATTTTAATTTTTTCCTCTTCCTAATTATGAAAACAAGCAGGGTGACCACAGAGGACATAAATATGGGAGTTAAAAAATTCCTCTTGCTCTCCTCTACAAGCCCCATGAGCATTTCAGGGAGGCACTCGGGGAAGCTTTGGGGAAGTATATTTATACATCGCCAGGCCACCTCTGTTGACCAGTGCCTTTTTGTTTTCTAAAGAACTTTTATAGATTCTTGGACTTTTTTGCCTGCCCATTTCACAGTGGTCTGTCCACTCAAGCCAAACCAAGTATTTTCCTTGTCTGCATTTAAACTTATTGCTTAGGTTTGGGGAGTGAATCTGGGCTCTGTGCTCTGAAGTACATGGCATCTCCTCTGCTTGAAAACAGAGTTCAAGAATTCAGATGCCCTGGCGTGTGCCCCACATTCATGGGTGATTTATGTACCTATCGCTCTCCTTCTGGAAGCCCCTGATGGTTGCCGTTCAGTCAAGGAGTTCTGCTCCTCTGTTCACCTTTTTCGGTTTACCCCATGACATCCCCCCTAGAGAATTCAGGGCGTGTTAAGGACACAGTAGCACTTCCCATGCAAAAAGCCCTTAGAATATGAAGTCTCCCATTTCTCTTGATGATAAAAGTGATACAGAAAGAAAAAAACCCATAACAGCTTTTTTACCTGATGGTACTTATTAGCTTGCTTCCCTCAGAAATAGTACTGAGAGATCTTATGTGCATTTGAGTTATCTTCTGGGGGCATTTGTGGATAAAAGCCACTGAGTGGATGCATTCATGTTTATATTTTTTCCATCTTTAATGATTGAAATAAGGGTAATATTTTTTATTTGATAATGCACTCAAGAATCATTTCAATATAAGCTTAAGTTTAAAACTCTTAGCTTCCAGTAGTCTATTTAGAAAAACAACAACATACTAGCCTGGCTAAAAACTATCCTCAGGAAGCCAGCCTGGAAGAACGGAGGGCAAAGCATGAATGAGCTATTCAGCTTTCCTTGGGAAATGGCACGATTTTCGGAGGAATTCAAGGCCAAGCATTCCTCAGATTTTTGTCAGGCACACATGCCAGTCCACAGAGTGCTGGAACCCCAAACACAGAGTCTGGATTGATTTCAATTTCGGTAATTCAGGTGTTTGTGGCATGGAATAAATACTGCTCAGAAGTAGGCATAGTGAGTTACCAGAAGTTGCCCTGCGCAATGTAATTGAAGGCAACATTTGCAGCACCTATTGCATGTGGATAGTAAACTGTTCAGGATATTTTACTATTTAAAAGAGAAATCCTGGATGAACTGACATTTGGGGCTAATTTGCTGAACTAATTTATTTTGCTAGGGTCATGTAGACTTAGCCTCAATCTGCTGTATCTTTATTTTGATGACTCTGTGGAGTGTTTGTTGAGTGGATATTATGTAGTCCTGTGCTGTTAGATGTTAGGACCTATGGGAACCCAGCACGGTACCTAGTACTTTCAGGGGGCTTGCAGTTTAGCCCATGAGACTGGACAAACACTCATGAAACAGAGGATAGCACAAGGCATCACATAAAAGTGTGAACGAGTAAGGGACAGGAATTGAGAGACAGTGAGACCAAGGCTCTTGGACTATTTCAGAGAAGGCTTTAGGCAACAGTATGTAGTTGGGAGGAATGCGAACAGGTCAAGGAAAAGAGATGGTCTTAGCAAAAGAAGATTTAGCAAAAGAAAATCCACTGGTTGAAAAAAATAAATGGAATATCTATGTGCCAGGCATTTCTTAAAAAACTAAGATCTTTACATGCCTGAGCTAATTTTATTCTAATGACTGTATGACAAGGTATTTTAGCTCCCATGTCAGTGGTGAGCAAAATGAATCACAAGGATGTGAGATAATTTGCTCGGGACCACATGGAAGGAAGCTGCTGAACTGGGATTGTCCTGGAGACACTGAAGAGGTCTCCTATCTATCTCTGACTTCTGATTAGAGCAGTGACCACTCTGGGCAACTGCTGTTTGCATGTTCTTCTTGCATGGCGAGTGAAGAACTGAATGGGAAAATCAAGGTGCAGAAACAAAAGCGCAACCACTGTCTCTGAGCTTCAGAGTCAAAGGGTAAGGGGAGGATCCAGCATGTCGGCATCTCAGTGTTCAGTGCAAGGGGGCTGCAGTGACGGCCACTTCTGGGGACATGTTGCCTCTCCAGCTCCCATGAGCCACTCAATGTGGTAGGGGATCCTGGGTGGGAGGTCTTCTTCCTCCAGTCAAGGACAGGGTCTGCATGAAGGCTCTGCTCCCTCGGGAGAGGTCCCAGAAAGTTTTCTACTCAGACAGGATGTGGGGAACATGCAGCGGATGGCTAGTTTTCCCTGAAGCCATCTTTCTTTTCTCTATGGATCTGAAACCATTCACCTAGAGACTCTGCTTTCCAACCTCCCTTTCAAGACAGAAGACTAAATTATTGCCTATGAAACGTGAGCTGAAGTGATAAGTGCAACTTCTGTTTCAAGTCTTAACTGGAAACTGCTCTTAGACTTCTTTCTCTTCCTTTCATTGGGCTGGAACCTGGATGTGCTAGCAGTCCCACTGAGCCAGGCAGATGCACAGTGCCCTGTAGGATGGAGGGAAAACAACAGGGAAAGAACGTGGATCTCTTCATCACTGTGTGAGACAGAGCAGCCTGCCAGCCTGGACCATCCAGCTCAAGAATGTTATGCATAAAAGAATGCCATTCAATCTTAGAAGCCACTGCTTTTCAGGGTCTCTTTGATAGAAGAGCTGAGGTTTTTACCCTGAATAATGTGAAACATTTCTGGGCTGGGAAGTTGAGCACTGATGTCGAGTCAATGCCTTATATCCCTTCATTCTTTCCTTCTTTCCTTCCTCCCACAGATACTTACTGAGCACCAACTCTGTACCAGCAATGTGCGAGTTGCTGGTGATAGTAAACAAAAGAGTCACATCCCCATCCTCCTGGGGCCACATTATATGGTGGAGAGAGACAAAAACAAATGGACAGACATAAAATCAAAACACTGGCAGACTGGAGTATGTGTTGTAAAGATCATAAGCTTGTGTCTGGGATGGAGATGGGAGGGTAGAGAAAGCTGCATTTGATAGCATGGTCAGGTAAGCCTCCATGGGGATGGAGGTGGTGCCTGGACTCAGCCGTGAAGGAGGACAAGCAGCCAGGCATGCAAGGAAAGGGGACACACCACTCCAAGCAGAGGGGCACATGTGCCAAGGCCCTGGGACAAGGAAGACCCTTTGAGCTCCAGTAACTGAAGGCAAGAGAGGAAGGAGGAGCGATAGGAAGCTGGCAACGTGGGTGGGGCCGGATCCTGGATTTCCTCTGAGCGCAGGGCGAGGCTGTTGCAGAGTTTCAACCAGGAGCATGGGCATGGTGGGGGAAAGGCAATACATTTGCTTAAAATTTAAGATCACTTTTACCATTTTATGGAGAAGGTTAAGACTTTGTACAGCTCTCACAGGCTGTCATGGTCCTGGAAGTAAAGGTTGGGGACAGTTGTTAACACACACACACGCACACACCAGAATTTCTCTAACCACATAATATTTGACTTCAGTTTAAAAAATTAGTACAGGCCAGTAGCTTTAGGAGTTAGGTTGAGAGAGGATTTCTTTAGCAATATGCAGTCCAATTCCAAACAGGTTGGGAAGTGCTAGTTTAGAGTTCAGTGGTGGGATTGTTTGGTCAACATTTGTAGTTTTGGGTTGTGGGGAAGGCTGTTGTGAAGAGGGCCTCCCCAGAGATGCTGAGCATGGCCGTTTTGGGAGGTTGTAGGAGTTGTTCGAAGGGCCCTGGCCTTTGGAATTTCTAGCTCTGGTTAAGAGTAGTGAAGAAAGGAATGAAAATACTTTAATTTATAAACACTTCCCAGACCATTAAAGCTACCTATTTTTCTCAAGCAAGTGAGGTCCATATTTAAGAACCACCATTTCCTTCACTTATTAATTTTCCTTTGTGAGATTTTGTCTCTTAAAGCACAATATCATGACTCCCTTTAATAACTACTAACAAGCAGGTTATTTCAGGAAGGGAATGACATGGTTCCCAGACTTGCAGATGTCAATGCAGTCATTACTGGGTCTCTTGCTAAGTTCTCAGTGCCCCCAGCTTTACTGAGATGTAACTGAAACATAACACTGTATCAGTTTAGGTGTGCAGCCTATGGCTTCAATACACATGCATATTGCAAATATTTAAGGTTTTTAACAACTGTACTCAGAAATAAGACATGATTTATTTCTCTCTTTTTTTTTTGACAGAGACACAATATCAGGGTCTGAACCAGTCCCCATCAAGTAGATTGTGAGGCTCCCTTTTGTTGCGTTAGTTTTTTGCATATCCAAGAAATCTAACAAGAACAGAGCTTTTGCACATCAGAAAATGGTTACTGTGACCCAGTCTCGCCTTACAGACCTGCTGACGGGGAAAACCTCCCTTTCTCTTCCCGTCCCCTGCCCTCCTTTCTCTCTCTCTCCCCAAAGGGTTCTCTGGAATCGGGGTATGCTTGACTGCCCTTGAAGAATGGCTACTGTGGCAACAGCTGCTCCCCCAGCCGGGCTCTCCTGAGGGCAGCAGGAGGGGAGGGGGAAGCGGGGTCAGATGTGGCTGGACTTCCTTCGGCCAGGTTTCCTTGTGCTGCTTCCTCTGCTCCAAGAACAGCCCCGGGAAGAGGCCTGGGGCGGCCGCTCAGATGTGCTGGCTCGGAGCCCATGCTTGACTTTTCCCAGCCCGAGTCTCAGGCCAGCAACTCCACGGTCTCAAGTCTTCATTTCTGTCCTGTTGAAACTCGTGGGGAAGGTTAATGAGATTAACACGGCCAAACACCGCGGCTTCGGAGCAGGAAGGAACCTGATGCGTGCCCTCCGCGGCTGAAATGCCGGCCAGGCCGTGCCAGCTGGGGACATTTCGCAGAGTGCCCCTATGGTAAAACTTGATTGTTTTTACTAGGTGATCCGAAAGTAGGATATACTGAGGGTTGGTCAGACCAGTGGCTACTCACTAAGTGCCTGTCATGTCAGGGAATGAATGAATGATCCACTTTATTCATTTAGCTTGGCCCAAACTCGTGCACCTTTCCAAGTGTACAGTGATTAATAATTTCTAGGATAGATCTTTTTCATTCAGAAAAGAAGTTATATCTGTGATAAAGGAAATAAAGTGGAGAAATAGGGATGAAAACCAAACACTACATCAAGCAGGAAGATGAATTCTCTCTTCGGCTGGAGTTTTTTAAACAAAACATTCCTTAGGAAAGTGGGGAAGATGGGAATGTATGTGTGTGTGTGTTTATGAGTATTTAAAAAAATGAGATAAACATGGAAAGAGAAAAAGGAGGAAGAAATTTGGTAAATCCATAAAATAGCCACAATTTACAAAAGTTTTAAAGGCAATTTCTTTTCAAGGGGCAAATTCCTAATTTCCCACATAAAAGTATGGGAATTGAATGGTGAATCCTTCTCTGCCGACAAGACCCCTGAAAGGAGGTTTGAGAAAGAGTTACTGTTCCGTTTCCATTCATGTCTCCTGAAAGCCCGTGGGTGTGCAAGTGCCCGGAGCTCACGGGCCGGGGGTTCCAGGGCGGCCCGATGGCTTTTCAGAAATGATCTATTGTGGGGCTTTGTTTTGTCCGGGCCGCTCTCTTTCTGCTCTGCTCGGGCTGCATCGCCCTCTGCCACTGCCATTAATCCGCCCTGTCCGCCGCTTGCCCCTCGCAGGGAGCCCTGGGATGAAGCGGCTGAAAGGCTCCCCGTGCTGTCCGGAGGCACCCAGGAGGAGGGGGAGCCGCAGGGGCGGGCGGGGCGCCCCGCTCACCTGGGGTGTGTGGTGTGGGTGTTTAGGAAGAAAGGGACGGGCGGTAGGCAGGGCGCGAGCGCGCAGTGTGAATAGGCTTTATCCCCCATCTGCCGGGGCCTGAACGGGCTGGGAAAAACCCTTTGCTTCACGTCGGCTGGTGGCTGAGCTGCTCCGGGAGACACTGGGAACGCGGGCTTGTGTGGCTGCAAATGAGATCGCCCTCATTTCCCAGTTTTGATTTGATTTCCTCAATCTGTAGTTAAGTAAGTAAGCTCCCTGTAGTTCAAGGGTTGTCAGACTGGGATAAAACAGCAGAGGATACGATTCGTAAGAAAGAAAATGACATCTGAAATCTGTTGTTTGGTTAGTAGCTCAAATTTGCTTCTCATCCTTACATACTCTGGGAAATCTCACTATATTTAATTACATTCTGAGTAAGGAAGATGCTTCTTTTTTTACCACCTCTCTGACCAATGCATCACTTACTTTTAGGTGCAGGGGGATTGTGGAGAAGTCCCAGAGACCTGCGAAGTGCTGCTGGGTTACAAAGGAGTAACAAACATTTCCCCAGTACCAGTGGCTTAACGTTCACATCCGCTCTTCTCGCTGCGCATCCAGTCGGGGGCAGCAGGGAGCTCTGCTTATCAGGGTCGTTCAGGGTACTGGGCAGTGGCGGGTTGTTCTCTCTGCGTGCATTGGGTGTGCGTCCAGGTCTCCACGGACAGAAGGCACCTCTTAGGGCTCTGACACAGGCCCTTCAGTCTCTGGTTTGGGAGCTGCTGTCCCTGACAGCTAGGCCGATTGCTGTACCCGGCTGCTGGCGCCAGGAGGCCGCCTCTCTCGGGTGTGCAGGAGGAAGATGATCACCGGTCGTCTGCCAGGACGTACCCTGCACATGTTCTCAGGGTTGAGCCCAGAGCTACACAAAAACGAAAAACAGGACAGCAACACATTTTTAAAACTTTAACTGAATGATAAAAGTCAGGAATTAAATGTTCTGAGCATGTATGATTAGCTCCAGCCTCCACTGTCATTTGAGCTGTGTGACTTTAGACAGATTACCTAACCTACTGGGCCTCCATTTCATCTGTCGAATGTGAGTGGACTTCGGATCACTGGGAGGACTTACTGAAGCCCACAGGGCAGGACCTCAGCCCTGATTCAGCAGGCCTGGGTGGGCCCGAGGCTTTGCATCCTTGGGGGAGGCTCATGCTGCTAGTCCAAGGAATACATGTCGGGATGGGCTCTAGATGGACTCTTGAGTCCGATGCAGCCGGAAAACTCAATATTTCCGAGAGGGGATGAAGTAGAATTAGTTGATGAATTGACTAATAGCTACAGTAAAATTTTCGTGTTGGAATTTGACTGGAAAATGATTCACCAGAACGTCACTAACCCCTAACCTTTTTTGAGAGCTCATTTGCATGTTGGGTTGACACGTAGAGTTTGAAGACACATCTCAATTACAAGATGTGGTCCAGACAGCTGCCCTTGTGGGGACAGAGGCGGCCGCTAAACTCTGAGCAATTACTTAAAATTAGACTTGTCAAATTTGTTTAGGGTGACCAGGCAAATACATACATTGACCCAATGTCACTCTTCCAGGAGAGACGTTGTAATGATTTTGTATATCAGTCAACTATTCAAAGACTAATGCTGCCTTCATGCCTTAATCACCATTCTAGTCAGATGTCATCTTTAGAAGCCCTTGGGGATTTGCATCCCTTAATTATTCTTCAATACCCAAACCAAGCTTTCTTTAATTGGTGTAAATTGAACAGTGTTTCAGAGCAAACAAGGAGAGGGCACACTGATCAATGATTCTGTGCGTGTCTATTGGAAAGCCATTGCCATTAGATCAAGTAACAAATCTTTAACTATTTGCTTCAGCGGAAACACCAGCTTGTGGAGCTGACAAATACTCTTTCTACTTAAGTCATCATGATCGGGAAACACAGAGTAAGTTGTGATTCCAAAATTTCATCTTTTAGGGAAAGGGTGAAACAAATCCAGCATAAGAATGCTCTCTGTTCCAATGTCAGAAACTGCATGGAGGAGCCTTTTATGAGAATTCAACTAAAACAAAGTGTTTCTATTCTCCTGTGATTTGGTGTTTCTCTCTCTTTTGATTTCTAAATTGGAAACAATATAAAATTTTTGTTAAATTGTGAAGCCATTCTTCTCCATGATTTTTGTTTGTTTGTTTGTTCCTGATAGCATGTGATCCATCTCATCATATATCTGAGCTGTGGCTGGGTAACATGAAACAGGTGTTTCCTGCTACTTTTAATGTGATTAGAAAAACTCAAGGCACTATACTTAAGAAGCCCAGGGAAAATCTTTCTCATAAATGTGTCATGCCCACTTTTCACTCTTGTCTCTTTCTATCAACTCTCTCAAATTGATTACTTATTACTGGGGTGGGAAGAAAAGGCAGCAAAGGCCCCATCACCCACCTCTGGCCTAGATCTGCCAGTCTCCTGCTCCCACTGCTCAGAAAACTGCACTCTGCTCCTATGAGGGGGTAGTGGCTGTATGTGTTCATTTCTAATCTATCTGACTTTTGACAAAATGTGCTAGTTCTTGGGGAAAATCTTTCAAGTTGATTTAAGTATGAGTTTTAGAGTCGTGCAGTGCAAGACACTTAAATTGAGCAGCGAGGGTGAGTAAGAGCTGTCAGCATTCTTGACAATCTTGGTCCAGTAGCTTAGATTTAAGGGGGAGCTTTTGGTGGGTAAGCTGGTTTGGATAGCATGTCTCCACACAGCATGCAGTAATTTATACAAACCCTAGCAGAGAGTGTATTGCTTTGTTTTCAACGATCTAGTCAAAGGTTTTGAGGACCTTGGTTAAAGCTCATGAGGGTGTCCTAGACTCCTGGAGTTCACTTACGGCTCAGCCAGAAGCATGCAATGGAGTGACACCATGTTGCTGGAGGTCTCATGGACCAGAATGTCACCCTTAAAGCATGTTCATGCTGGGAAGTCAAAGGAGATCAGTAGTTCTTTACCTGGATCAACTTTGGGAGTCTAGAAGAGCAGACTTGACCCAGGCTGCAGAAATGATCTGACCTCCCGTAGTTTTGAGGCACCCTTCAGAATCTGCAGTGGTGTGGCCCCCATCTTTTCTGTTCCGTTTCTGTCACTCTTTTCATTACAGACACTTGTACCTGGCTTTATTCAGACCTGCGCTGGGCACACTGAACTTGAAAATAAAGTCCTTGGTTCTGATCCTGGCTTTTTCTCTTGGAAATCATGTTACCTCTCTGGGTTTCAGTTTTGCCATTTGTAAAATGTGGGAGTCTGAATGAACTCTAAAGTCCCACTGAGGTAGAATAGCTGCAGAGTTATTTCCCCTAATACCAATTCTCATGAACGTCAAAGGAAAGGAACTCAGGTTGCATTTCTTTGGAGTCTAGGGTCTCACTCTTGTTTATGGAAATGGGCATCTAATCAGTGCTCCCCAAACTTGAATGCACATTTAAACTGCCTGGGATCATGTTACAGTGATGATTCAGGTTCAGAAGGCCTGGGGTTACTGAATTCTGGGGGTGCTGAGATTCTGCGTTTTGGAGAGCTCTCAGGTGCCATAGCAAGACTTTGAACAAGAAGGCCTTAGACGGTGAGCTGAGTGAGGCTGCGGGTGGATCTGTTTTGTTCAGCACTGGATTCCTAGCCCGCCTGGCTCAGGTGCACAGTTACTCTCTGGTGGAATGAATGAATGCTGGAGGGTATTCAGAGAGAAGGATAAGCCTTTGGTCAGATCTCATCCTCACAGCCTCCCATTTCACTTCTGCCAGGACGGGAAGGCTCTGGCTGCAGAATGGGTCCCTTGCCTCCTCAGGATTTACGCGGCCGCGGGAGCAGGAGGAAGTCAGAGACACTCAGGAAGGTGCTGGTGGGGAAGCACAGGAGCCTCTGCCCTCTAAGCCCTGGCCCTTGACTCTCGCCCTCTTGCCCATATACCCTTACATGCTTGCTTTCTCCCGCATTTGTTTCTGGTTCAAGTTGTCCTGGTTTCAACTCTTACAAGTTATTTAGAGGGAGTGGAGGGTTCCACACCATCAGGTGGCCCCAAACATCACCGTCCTATGGAGGGACAGCTGGTATGGGAGACAAAATACATGGTAT